TCCACGAACCATTTCCCTCAACCCGCGAAAATTAAATGATCCTGCGCGAAAATTAAATGATCCTCCACGAAACCAATATCCGCGAGCGCTAAACCACATGAATCTGAGTACGAAATAAAAAGCGCTACCCACGAAGTTAATACCATCACCCACGAAACCAAAAGCGTAGCCCACGAAACCAAAACCATCACCCACGAACTCATATATCATTATGCATGAAAAAAACATCATCACCCACGAAACCATATACATCAACCACGAAATCATTATCCTCATGTCCCTGTTCATCTTGGAAATCCTGTACTCAGAGGTAGATCGATAGAAAGACGTCTCTTTTCCCAGACACACACTTTCAGAGTAAACAGCAATCTCACAGACTTTGTTTGTTATACATTTGATCATCCACACACACATACACACATACACATACATCTCAATAATGTTTGTTATAGGTGGCATTGACGAAGATAGCAACCGCATCATTGTCGAAGTGGATGAATCCAAATTTGGGAAGCGTAAAAGCCACAAAGGCCATCGTGTTGAAGGTGTGTGGGTTGTTGGCGGTGTCGAGCGTACTCCTGAACGCAAGATTTTTGTGACAACCGTCGAAGATCGCAAGAAGGATACTTTGCACCTCATCTTGAGTAATTACATCAAAGAAGGTAGCGAAATTCGAACAGACTGTTGGAAGGGGTACAATGGTCTCGCACGTATTCCTGGCAAACGCTACCGCCATGAGACTGTCAACCACGCCAAGGAGTTCAAGACTGCAGCTGGTGTTCATACAAATACCATCGAAGGTACGTAAAGTACTACATATAATCCTGATCTTGTTGTTATATGCTGATAATTCGTCATACGATTTAGGAACCTGGAATGGCATCAAGTCCATTATTAAGGCCCGCCACAGAAGAGCTCCGATCATGAAGTAGCGTCTTGCCGAGTTTATTTTCCGTCGCAAGCATGCTGGGGACCTCTGGGGTGGCATTATCAAGGCATTAAAAGAAGTATCCTTTGACAAGGTTACTTCTTCGGATGATATAGATGAAGAATTCATCTATACAGAGGTCAAACGGGAACGTAGCGATTTGGATCACGATGATTCGGGGTTCAATGGTAAGTGAATGGACTTGAAAATCTATAATGATTAGCTAAGTCAATGATTAGATAATACGCAATGGGAAACCGATACCGAGGATGATGATGACACATCAGGTGAATACACAGCTGACTCTCATAGAAAACGCTTTAGAGGCCAATAAACGAAGTCCATAGACATTTATTTGTTCTACTAAGTACATTGCAGTCACGTTAGAAGAAGTAATGGAATAGATTAAAAGTTGCTGCATATATGATTGATTAAAAAGAAACGACCATAGCTCGTAATCTAGCGGTCGTCGGAGTTTCGGGATTGCACCAGCGTATTTGGAGCACCTCGAAGAACATAGTAGGTAATCATAGCCTCGTTACGGCAACATTTTTCCCCACTTGGCAGAAGCAGGCTCTCGACTTAGTAAAATCCACCCAATTTGGGTAGTTTTTCCCTCATAACACGGGCGCATTTGATTCGATTAAGTTCGGATCTTTTTTCCCAGATTTGGTATTGCGGCGTCCATATGTGAACAAATTTGGCGGAACATCGGAGTATGTTTTTTACATCGTATGCCAATATGGTCAATTTAGTGAAAAGGAGACGTTTTTATTTCGGCGATTTCTTGCCAATCAGACGTCGGAGATACTCATGGTTACCATCAACGAATTGTAGACGTCCGAATGTATATATGGGTAAGGTTTTATGAAGAACTACCGACATTCACAAGTTTTTGCAGTGTGTAGAAATGTGGTCCCCTATCTTTTCATTCAACCCATTCTTTTCTCCGTCGACTCAAGTTTTATGGGTGGCGTCCATACACACGATTGCACCATCTTCTTTTAGTCGCTATACGTGCAAGAGGATGTGTAAATACATTATTTAGGCATAAGTCGTATCTCATACCTGAAGCTGCCATGATGACATAAAGGCAAATAAGAACATGCCTTCCTGGATATCATCCATAGAATGGTATGTGGAATACCCATCGTCGTTAGCAATCTTGTCACCCCACTGCCCAAGGCTTGCCTTTAGATCGCTCTTGTTGAATTTAGCATGTTTATCCATGCATGAACGCATAGCGTAATAAACTTGCTGGTAACCAATACGCAGGATGGCAGGGATACCATCACCGTCACCAGCCATAATATCCTTTAAGGACTTGTGATCAACACGAAGGACATTTTGAATACTGGCCGAGTTCATGTTTTGGTCAACCATATTGTGAATCATTTCACGCGCCTGACGACTAATAGGAGCCTTCTTGAGATCTTCTACTGATCCTGGGATATGGTTTTCATGTCTCCATCTATACTCGATGTGTACGACATCGGGTGATGACTCCAAACATTTCGCCTTAATCACCACAGGGCAGTTGCATGGGAGGTTATTCTTGCCGGTAGGCTCGCCATTACGGCTGCACAAAAAAATCTATATAAAAATGTGGTAAGGAACTGCTTACATGTTATGCAAGCTTCAGCATTTTGATATTACCCCATTGTAATTGGTGGTTGGATCAGGGCCTCTCTTACCACCAGCCTCTACACGCACGGTTTCCAATTCATCGCCATCCTTGCCTGATAAAGCGAATCCAGCACGATAGTTGTCATTTTCAGTGTCTTGAAAGGCGCCATACAACCGAAAGAAGTCTTTGTTTTTTTAAACGCGTTGCCACTGGTACGATAGTAAAATGTGCATGAAGTGCGGCGTTCTTCATGAATGAACCAGGGGTAAAAATCCTTAGCTGCCATGGTACATCTATAGATGTCGTTTTCCGAAATATCTTTAACAGCACCCGTGGTCTGGTTGCGGATGAGATTAACAGCGTTGGATATAAGGTTTGACATGCTTGAGCTACTTGTTTTTTCCTGTTTAGTATTTACGATCTTGCTCCCGATCTCACACAATCTCGCCATGCCGGTTTGCCATTGGGTTGGATCTTACAATGAGGTTGCGTTTTGCGATGGGAAATTTATTTGTGCTCAGGAAAAACTTTGCAAAGATGTAGCTCGCATCGTGCAACCATGTTCTATTGTCGGCTAGCAGCTTTCAAGGACATCTCTATACAGTATCTTATCATGTATCTACTGGTACCCAACATAACACCCATTACCCGTTACTTCTTATCCATGTTTCATCACTCCTCGCATAAACTCTCGGCATGAAGAAAAAGCAGCCATTCATACAGTATACTATAAGCATGGCAACCTTCCAATATTACCATAGCATCCCTTTGGTTTTATTCTGGAACCTTATCACTACCATTACTATACCGATCCTTCATGCTACAGCTAAACCTCGTATAACACTCTATCTATATCGTCTCCTTGGCATGCCTTTATTGTACAAGCTTTGGTGTATCTGAGAGCACAATAAAGCGTTTCCTACCGAAAAAAGCCTCCTTGACGTGCCTAAGCTCACGCTCGTCCCTGGTTAACACTAGCAGGTATTTTGCATAGATTGAATAATAGTTTGAAGGTGTTTTGAGCGTTACCTTAGTTGCTTCTACTTGCTGTGTTGGCGATTCCACTTGAGGTTTGGCATTGGCAAAAAAAAAAGAGGTGTCATTGTCAAGCGAAGGCGTTGTTTGCCAATCTACCTTTCAGATGACGGATCTTTTGTCATGTACTCGTCTGTTGGCTCATCTGAAGAACATCATTGGTTGGCAATGGCGACGTGTTGCTTGGTTTTGGTTCACGATGGGTTGAATGGAGTAAAAAGAGGTTGGCTGGTGGAGTTGAGCTGGGCACTTGGGCGTTTATTCCTGCCGAAGATTTGAAATGCCGCTAAACCTGGAAACAAAATTCAAGTTTTGCCATCATCTCGTATATGGCACGTGCATTAACACCATCTGAAAACAACTATATGATTACAAAGAAAGAGTTATTAGCAGTCATCTTCGCTTTAAAGTACCACAAGTATTTGTGGGGAAACAAGTTTACTCTATATACAGATCACAAAGCATTAACTTATTTGCACCATCAAAAAGAACTTAATTCCATGCTGACAAACTGGTTCAACACTTTATACAACTACACATTTGATATCATACACATCGCTGGTCGATTAAATGGCATGAGTGATGCTTTATCTCGCCTCTTTCACGAAGGACATGATACCCCACAACCTACCAACAACATACTTACTACCCAACAAAACAATGATGATGAACAGAAAACAAATCGAGCAGCTCCACTCATCGAAGACAATACAATGACCCCACCAGAGCATGAAAGGCACCAAATCCTTGAAAACGCACACCTCTTCGGTCATTTTGGGGCTAACGCCATCATACAAGCAATCCATAACAACGGCTTACATTGGCCTAATTTGAAACAAGATGCCCTCGCTCTAGTCATGCAATGCCCTGAATGTCAAAAATTTAACATCGCACAAAAAGGATACCACCCATTGAAATCAATCACGGCCGACTCACCAGGAGATCATTGGGCACTAGACCTAGCTAATTATGAACTCTCAGACAATGTCAACCACAACCTCCTTGTTCTCGTTGACATGCGCACTCGATTCTGTATATTAAGACCACTCCCAGACTAAGAAGCTGACACTATTGTAAATACTCTTGTACAAGTATTCTGTGATTTTGGCCTACCAAAAATTATCCAATCTGACAACGGCTAGGGATGCGCATAGATTAATCGAATGTGTTCGGGATTAATTTGACGTCATTCGAATAAAGATCACCCTCATTCTTGTTCTACTCCAAACACTCAGCCCTTATTTTTGTTCCGGTTTACTCCACATGAGGTTACTCGAATGAGTTCGAATAAAGCAGCTATTGTTTCAGAATGCTCTCGAATGGTTTCGAATGAAGAGGTAAAACTAACAACTTCCAGTGTAAAGCTGTTACTTATTACAAAGAAGCATATAGGAACACAGATTGCAGATTACAGAGGAGGAAAGTACTTTGTCATTTGTTTTAATTGACAATCGAGGGGATGAGGGGGCACAACAGGAATGAGAGAAAAAAAGAGAAGAGAAAAGAGAAAAGAGAAAAGAGAAAGAGAGAAGAGAAGAGAAGAGAAGAGAAGAGAGAAAGAGAAAGAGAAAAGACAAAAGAAAGAAGAGAAAAAGGGATAAGAGAGAAGAGAACAACACACAAAGACTAACTACTCGTCAAGCAACTTAATCCAGGATTGCATACCGCGCGGCCGAAAAGCACCTTTCAGATGGAGCGGATGAAGCAGGGATAGCCAAATATCGACGTGCCATTTGTGCAAGGTCCGGCCACTGCGATGCACGGCTACTCCAGTATTCAAGAACATTGATGGATTCGTCGGCAGGTGGCTCAGCGACATATTCTGCAAGCTGATCATTGCGAAGACGACGACGAAACAAGCGGAAGCCAGCTGCTGGGATTTCTTCATCATGGACCATGGGCTTGTATTTAGCCCATTCAGCTTCCACCGACTTGATCGCTGCTTCAACGTACTTTTCTTCCCATTCTTCATCCTTCCACCACTGGTACTTCGCACGAGGGTCCATAGCTGTGGCGATTGCGTAAAGAGGCTGGTCATCCGTACGTGCGTAATATTGCAAGAGCTTCGACTTGGCCATCTCGGCAGCGCGAACCAATTGTGGGTAAGTCTACATATATATCATGTTAGTATAACGTATGGATGCTCACTAATTTTCTCCATTTACATACCTCAGCCCTATCTGCAGCGTAATCTTCAAGGTGGTCAATGAGTACATTGTACCCAATGATGGTGCTTGAGTGTGATGGGTATCGGGACCTACCCAAAACGGCTGTCAAATCTGCAAATGGCTGCAACATGGCCGCAACCTGTTGCAATGTCTCCCATTCAGCATCCGTGAGAACGTGTTGTCGTAGTGCAGGGATATCCAAACACGTCATGTTGTACGCACGCTGCATCTCCAAACCACGCTGGATCATATGAAAGGTGGAGTTCCATCTTGGTCGCACATCCAATACGAGCATCTTGGTATTCATATGGCCATGTTGATCCACCACAGCAGTATCACTGGTACCAGCAATAGTAGAAGCACCAACATCTCCTTCATCTCTTGTCCTTGTGCTCTCAACTGCTCTACAGCAATCTTGGTAATGCTCGATACCTTGAGGTGATGATCGGATGCGTCGCACACCAGCACGAAAGCGGCGAAGCAATGAGCCTATATACCGATCAATATGTAAGTAACAGATACATCATTGTTTTTTGAATATTTTCTTACCTGCATCCTCCTCAGCAGAAACCTCTCCTCCATCGTCGTTATCATCAGCAAGTTCATCCTCTGGTACTGGTGCCTTCAATGCATCTTGGATGGTGACCTGGGCAGCAAGGTTGATGATATGGGCAATGCAACAAATTCGGTCCGTCGAGGCAAAAAAGATATCAGGTGCTTGCAGCTGTTGGCCAATGTTGTGAGCCATTGATAGCATGTTGCTGGCGTTGTCAGTCGTGATGAAGAAAGGCTTGTGCACCAAATTCATATCTCGAAGCACGTTCAAGAATGCCATGGCAAGGTTGGGACCAGTGTGGGGACCTGAAAGCGGCTCAAAACCAATCACGCATGATCGCTGCTTCCAAGAATCATCGATCCAGTGTGCTGTGACACCCAAGATTGCCACCCTTTGCTCACTTGTCCAAGCATCCAAAGTGTAAAACAGGTTTGGAAGCGGCGCCAATAGTCTCATCACGTGTTCCTTATAACCACCAAACATAGAGTCGATATTACGGCACAAGGATCTTCTTGACGGCAATGAGACAGCACTTGGAAGTTGAGCTCTGCATGCAATCCTTAACAGCTCCTGTAATTCTTGGCTCTCGACAAGTGAAAATGGCAAGGAATGAGCAACGACAAAACGCAACAGTCTCTCTTGGAACATGTCGACAGAGAATCCGGTAGTCATTTGTGCACGCAACATCACATCCAAAGGACCAACATTGTTCACCGCTTCAAATACCGAATGCTTGTCGATCGAATGTGCAGTACGTAAGTGATAGATGATGGAGCTTGTGGTGGTCCCAATCTTCTTGACAGCATGACCACATGGCCCATTGGCTTTTGGGTACTGACACACAATATTGGCACCACTTGGATCCCCTATAGCCCATCCTTTGGAAAACACCCAGCTACCACTCGTCTTGGATCGCTTCGCTCTTGATTGAGAGCCCATGGCATCGCTCGCCTCAGTCGCCTCAGACATCATTGAGAGATCGGAACGTTGGGGCTTAACTCTACCAAATTGAAGAGTACCATCTTCACGATCACCAGCCTCTTCCTCCTCCTGTCAACGTATATTTATCAGCACATACTCTTTCAACCAAATGAGCAATTGACTTACGGTATCAATAACCTCTTGAGGAAAACGATCATCGAGTTCAGAATCAACAGTGGTCTGGGATAACATGGACATGGTTTCAAAAGGTACGTAGGTTGGATTGTAGATAGAATATACAGAGATATGCTGTAATTGCACTTCTATCACGCACATCTTTTATAATAAATCGATGGTTTGCCTATTGACATTTTCTCTTACGACTTACGTGATGATGACATTACTTTGAATCTCAAAAACGTCTCTCATCTCATCCTTGAAAGGTATATTTGCCATCCTGTGGGGATGAATGTGGGAAAAATGCTGATGTGATAAGCTGTGCTTACGAAGACTTAGGCAACATTGCACATATATGGTATGGCAGTCAGGATGCTGGTAGTGTAAAGCTGTCAAAGATGTATTCACTGCAACACCTCTTAATTTATTGCATTTGATAATAAAAAACAAGCCAACAAGATGTACTACGTGCTAAAAGGCGTTGACAGTGTTCTCTTTATTTTGTGGGCATCGGTACATGATACAAGCTCGTAACGTTCCTGCATTACATTATATGAGGGAGAAATCATTTGGGTACCAGTACTATCAAGCTGTCAAAGATGAAGTCAGCATCATGTCTCTATTATGGCAGGTGCTAATTAGCTCTACCCAATTTGCCGGATTCCAATGTCTGTGCGCAAATCATTGGTGTACCTGGCAATGCGTTGGCGGGAATTTAGTCAGCAGCGTCTGTATATGGCATGGGTGACTTGTACTCTTGGGAAAATAGACACCAGGAGAAGTGTACTATGCTCTCATATACCGTGTGAACTGAGGAATCAGTGAAATTATAGCTAAGATAGTGGGTTTACGGAAGAAAGAAAAAGGTAATCCCAACACCAACGCTCATCGACATCTGCATTGACATGCATGTAGAAAGTGGAATGGCAGAACGAATGACGAATGGGGCCTCTTTATTCCATACTATTCGAATAGATAGTAGCTTGTTCTGGATTAATCGAACACCTTCCTTCGCTCGTTTTAGTTTACTCGAGCTCATCAAGCGTTATTCTCATTCTGGTTTATTCCAGCAAATCAAAACGAGTGACGATTAATCGAATAAATGCCCATCCCTAAGCGGGACGTTGCAGGCGTGTTGTTGACCTGTTGCATCAGCTAAGGTATAAGCACCACCTCGATTGAGACCTGTAATACGAAAAGGGCCAGTGTATCGTTGCTCAGTTTTACCTGAACGATGCACGTTTTTGATGACCACCTTGGTACCAATAGGAAGAGGCTTGATGATACGATTCTTGGAATCATAACGTGGTTTCTCAGCGTCACGCATGCGTTGCATACGCTCTTGAATAGCAGGTATCACAGCTTGCTCAAACCGCTCAATGTCCTCTTTACGAAGCTCTAAAGCTTGTTGAGATGACACATTGGTCTCGTCATTGGTGTAATCGCAAAGCTTGTTTGGCTGCCTGGCAAACATGAGTGAATAAGGGTGTGATCCATGCAAAGGATTATGCTTGGAGTTGAGGAATAACTGTACGGTGGGAACGTAAAGATCCCAGTCATTGCTCTTGCCTTGTAAAAGTTTCACGATGCCTTGTTTGACAGTGCCAACCCAAGGTTCAGCCACACCATTGGCGCATGGATGGTAGGGTGTGATAAGACGATGATCCATACCAAAGGCTTCAGTGATAGCCTTGATGAGGGTGTTGACAAACTCCGTGCCGTTGTCGCTCTGTAAGACTTTGGCAAAGCCATAATCTCCAAAAACAGAAATAAGAGCTCGGGCGATGGTAGGAGCCCTTTTGTCAGGAAGTGCTCTAAGTACACAATAACGCGTAAAGATTTCGACCATAACGAGAATGAAAGTACAGCCACCTGTTTCGGATGTTGGAAGCTCACCTACGTCGAGGGCCCAATGATCACAAGGTGCGTTGGAAGTGACATGGTGCAAAGGATGATAGCCATGTTTGCCGATGTTACCTTTTTGGCAAGGAAGACATTGGCTAACTATGTTTTGCGCATCACGTTTGATATTAGCCAAATGGATACCTTCACTGTTTAAGTCACTCACAATGGCGTCCGCTGCATAATGGCCCTTAAGGTGTGAGTGAAGTAATAATTCATCTCGTTCATCCTCAGGTGGGGTTATCATATCAGCCGGATCATAGTGGCGGTGTAACCTAGCAACAGGTGTAGATGATCCATGCAAAGAGTCATGTGGAAGGCTTGTGGCTGAGTCTTTGTTTTTTGAAGACGTGGTGCCAATATAACCCCCTCCAGCTCTTCTTCCGGTGGGAATAAGAGCGATAAAGAGTTAGGCAGCACGTTCAATACTCCAGGCAAATGAGCAACAATGAAGTCGTAATCGCAAATGACGTCACGCCATTGTACCATCATGGGGTTCGCGATCGGTTGTGTATGGAGGTAAACGAGAGCCTTATGGTCAGTGTATAGCTTGAAGTGCTTGCCCCAAAGAAATTGATGATACTTGCGTAGGGCGTATACGATCTTACAGTTCATTTCGAGTATTCGTTCATTTCAAGGAATGACTAGGCCATTTGAAGGAATGACTAGGCCATTTCAAGGAATGACTAGGTCATTTCAAGGAATGACTAGGCCATTTCAAGGAATGACTAGGTCATTTCAAGGAATGACTAGGCCATTTCAAGGAATGACTAGGTCATTTCAAGGAATGACTAGGCCATTTCAAGAATTGACTAGGTCATTTCGAGAACTTGAAATGGCCTAGCACATTTTCGAATCCTCCAAATGTCCTAGTACATTTCAAGGAATACTTAGCACGTTTTGAATCCTCCAAATGTCCTAGGTCATTTCAAGTGTGCAGCGTTTTGTGAACAGCCATCTCGAGACAACTTTCATGTCACGTTTTATTGTTGTGTCAAGCATCGCGTATCTCATTCACTATTGTACATGTTGCCAGGCAACCCCCATCGCACTCAACATAGTACATGTTGCCAGGCAACCCTTATAGAATAAGGCAATCGTCTCTATGTTTGCAACATCGTGTCATCTTAATAAAACTTTATTGCTATCCATATTTATTCTATCATGGTTAATCATGATGTTAGTTGTAGTATTTGGATCTTCTTGTCTCACGGCGTGTGAGTGCTCTAGTCATTGGGCGGGTCAGTGTAGGCTTGGTAACTCGTGCTCTTCTATTTGTAGTTTGCCTAGGTGGTTGCGTGGGGACTTGTTCATTGGCCTCGGCATTGAAACAAAGCATAGCACAATCGGGATGGCATTGCTTGGTGCACCTTGTGTTCTTCTTTTTGCATGTGCATCTGCTTGTTATGCACCCAGCCTTGCAACGGCAACCTCCCTCGTCATATGGTGTCTTGCGCTGTTCACGCATAAAAGTGAGAGCCTCTTTGATTGTGATGGGTGGTATGTCCCTAACCATGGTGGTGCAATCCAAATCTTTCAGCTCATCGAATTGGACATCACCCCAATATACAAGTTCTCTTGCATGGTACGAACGCTTGATAGCTCCGTAAGCGCAAACAACCTTATACATTGTATACCCATCTGGCATGGTAACCTTGTCATGAATAATACATGGAAGGTGTCGAGGATCATCCCGTGCACGAATACGCTTCTCAATAACGATACCAACAACATCGCCAACCTCGTAGACTGGAATCGAGTCCAATGCAGCTTCCAAGCTATGATCGCGAGTTAGCATGATGATGTTACATGGCTCAAACGACATACCGCTTTTGGATTTGATCTACACTGCGGTCATAGCTCATGGCGGCTGTTTCACGGATGCCCACATGACGTGTACTGATATCGTAGCTTGAGGTACTCATCCCATCTTCGTCCAGGCCAACATCGCTTTACGTAATATCATTGTCGTCGTGATCATCATGTCCTTTGTTGCTAACTTCATGCGTGGGACCAACGGCTTCCCGTACAACGCTGTTATCGTCTTCATGATCACCACATTCCGTATCAGTTAACATGATGTATTCTTGGCTATGACGGTTTGATGTATCGGTGTATGATGAGTATGGTGATTGCTGGCCCCCGGTTCTCTCGGCTTCCCCTAAACAACAAATCGTCTTAACATAAAGTGCGTACAACCACTAAAGAAAATGTACATGTATAACTTACTCTCGAGAAACTCATCCAATTGACCATCACTCATCAAATCATCATACATGGCCGGATCGTAACCCAGTGTTGTCGGCGTAATGTGAGTTGCTGTTATATGCAGAAAGATCTAATTAACAGTGTCAGCAATTACGAATGATGACACCATGCATGCTGCAAAATAATAATATCAACGTACCTTGGGATACCTCATCTTCAGACGTCTCAATGCCATACCACGGCTCATATGCATCGCTTGGAAGACTTTTGTTATCATCACCTTGGTCCAAAACACCCACGGATGATACACCATTATCGTCATACTCCACATCACTCACGGACGATTTATCATTACCATCGTGGTCCAAATCACCAATAGAGGATACATCATTGAAGCCTTGATCATACAAATAATCAATGTAATCCTCAAGACCATTGTCAGATTCAATGGGCGACTCGCCATCTCCATCCTCATGATAATCTTGTTGTGGACTTTCCTCGACGTCCATGTCAGCGTGATCTTCATGGCAATCTTGATGTGGGTCTTGTTGATCTGATTCACCTTCACCCTCATTGGCGGCATACACGTTTATGTCTTCAGGATCATCCATTTCGAAGATACCTTCAGGATCAGCCATTGCGATGATAGCTTCCGCTTTTGCAGCGTAATCGATAACGGATGTGAATTCAGAGCGTGGGGCTTGTCCATATACCAAACGATACGGGGTAGCAACCCCGTTAAATCCCCTCGATTTTCAACTTTGAGATTCTCAGCCTTTTCCCCCCGCCAGCTTACTTTCTGTTCCCCATTGGTCTTTGCAACTTGCACATCTCGACCGAGTTCAGCCCATCTACAAACTGCGAGCAATTCATCTACTTCTTCTCGTCATGCCAAGCCAGCATTGGAGTTACTTTGTTACGATTCAAGACAATGGCAAGTACATGGGGCTTTGACAGCTGCCTTTCTTTATTTCAGCACACCTTGTTTTCGGCACCACTCAACCTCTTGCACTTTTCTACCACGCCCATTCGCTTCAGAGTCAATTGCAGTAGCCGAGATTAGCTTCGTCAGCAGATCCTCTTCTTGAATCGCCTTGTTGGTTGTGTACAAACGTGGCTTGCAGCCTTCTTTTATATAAGCAACAACACCTTTATTCACTAGCAGCTTTATTTACGCCTAGCATCAAATGATAAACAAATAAATATCGATGTCTTATGTATAGCTTTATCTGGATAATGTGCTGGTATATGGAAAGGATTGAACAGCGTATACTGCTTCTACGAAGTTTGGGATTAAAAGGATTCCTAGTGGCTCTGCTGTGTAAAGATTTTCTTTGCTCTTGTTTTCTTGCGATTCCAACATGCACACTGAAGCTATTGATCCTGTCAGCGATTCCCGTTCTGAATCCTCTTCGAGCAATGTCAACCACAATGAGCCTAATGAGCAACAAGTGGAGGTTACTGTTGTTGCTGCAAAAGCTGCGAAGCTTCGAGAAAATCTTAAAACCAATGGGTGGATCGAAGTGAACGCGAACAACGTGAAGGAAGAAATCAGCAGAATTTATGCAGCTATGGGTGAAACCTGGGTTTACAATAACAAAGGGGTGGACCCTGAGAAAATTGCTATAAAGGGTAAGGTTGATCGCGTGATTGACGAAATGAAACATGTTGATTTATTCATTGCTTGTGCTATATAGCTCAGCAAGCTGATCATGCCAATGGCCCAAGAACTCGTCGTCTTGAATTCCGTATCCATGAGAGCCACTATTACGACTGCCATCGTGCACACAGCCAACGTATCCGCCCATACAAACCTGATGATGATACCATTGATCGACGTAACATCCTGCGACCTTCGAAGAAACAAGGCTGTAAAGCTCGTTTGCACGTGCGTTTCTATCTTGAGACACCTGATATTGCATTCGTCAAGAAGAAAAAGGATCATGATACGCATACACCAGGTGACCCTGAAGAAATCGAGCACCTTCCAACAACACCACGCATGAAGGAATACATCCTTGGATGTTGGAAAATGGCCATGGAGTCACAAGGCGCCAAATTCGTATGAAGCTCAACAGAGACATGTTGACTTTGCCCATTCAACACGTTGATGCTCAAGTCCGCACAGAGGCCATCGCCCATATATACCGAACATGGCACCATGCTCGTACACAAAAGGATAAGGATGATGATACTTCTGTTGGTCGCTGGCTAGATGAACTTGAGGCACGTCAATACACAGTATGGCGTATTGCCAATGATGATACAGCTCGCTATGCCTTTGGGTTTTGTTCCACATGGCAACAAAATGAGCTAACCAAAAGCGACAACTGGTCAATGGATGCTACTCATAACATGGGACCAGATGCAAATGCATTGTTGTATACAATTATCGTGCGTCATCCTTTGGCTGATCGTGGTATCCCTGTGGCATATTTGTTCACCAACGACAAGTCGGCATATCCAGTTACCAAATGGCTCGAAAACATTGCTGCGTTAGGTGGATCGCCAAAGATTATTACCGTCGATTGTGACCTTGGCGAAGTGAAGGCCATTCAAACTGTGTGGGGCCACAATTGCCGTATTCAATATTGTACTTGGCATGTACAACGTGCATGGGTGAACCAGCTGGTGGAGAAGGCAGTTGAATGGGGTCGAGCACAAAACAAGATGGAGCGAAAGTATATTGAAATGCAGAAGATGCGAGATGAAATGAAGGCTTTGATGTGGGAGGAAGATCGCGACGAGTTCTTTAAGAAGTGGAATGCGTTCAAGAAAACGTGGTCAATGCATCAGTCAGCATTTGTTGATTATTTCGAGAAGCAATGGATGGCTGAGGATAAATATCCAAGATGGGCAAGATGTTATCATCCAGCTGTATATACCAACATGTTGACAAACAATTACGTGGAGTCTTGGCACAATCAGCTGAAAACCGTTTACCTAGCTCGCAAGTACCCACGACGTGTTGATTTTCTCATCTATACGCTTGTCGAAGGGGTTGAGCTTGACATGATCTCGGAGGTGAAACGACGCGCAGCACGCAATGGCCAACTCACGAATATGCAGCGTCACATGCTACAGAAGAAGAAACAAGCAGATGAGATGGCGGATGATGTATCCGATGTTGCGCTTAGTCGTATGATCAGACCAAATAGGAGTATTCAAAACACGTTTACAGTTGAAAGCTTTAAGCTTGACGGTGTGCGTTATATCGTAATTTATTTGATGGATCATATTTATTTGACATCATCTATCACGCATCATCTTTACTAATGATTCTATGGTAGGTAACTGTGCACTTTGATGAAAATTCAGATGCCAAAACCATCATGTCCTGCTCCTGCCCTGCATATACCTTCGACTATTTGCCATGCAAGCACATGTTCCTTCTTGCTCGTTGGGATACTGCATATACTGTAAATGGTGACTATAGGCCAACACGTCTCATTATCGATCCAAATACAAGCACTTCCCAATCCTTACCATTGCCTGGTTCCTCGCCCAATCCTAGCAATGTGTCATCCTCCGCTTCCTCTTCGGATCCATCATCTTCAGCTCCTGCACCTACTGGAAGGGATGCTCCTCTGGGTAATCCTCGTGATGCGATGAAGGCTGTAATCAACAAATTTAAACGCACCTTCGAGCAATCAGCTTTCTCGGATCATCGTCTACTTGAAATCGTCACCAAATTTGAAGGTCTCCATTCCGAATTACAACAGGCCATCGTCTTACCTCCTAACGCTAGACTCCAAACCCAACATCGTAAAAAGAAAACTCGTACTAGAAAATAAATCACCGTGTTATTCATCTTTGCCAGACGTAGATCTGATCCTCTACCATCACTTACTATAGCACTACACCAAGTCACCCTTGTTGGCGCGATATGGTTTGGCTGCTGTCAGCTGTATATAGATCGAAGCGGTACCACTTGTTGCTAGGCGTAAATAAAGCTGCTAGTGAATAAAGGTGTTGTTGCTTATATAAAAGAAGGCTGCAAGCCACGTTTGTACACAACCAACAAGGCGATTCAAGAAGAGGATCTGCTGACGAAGCTAATCTCGGCTACTGCAATTGACTCTGAAGCGAATGGGCGTGGTAGAAAAGTGCAAGAGGGTGAGTGGTGCCGAAAACAAGGTGTGCTGAAATAAAGAAAGGCAGCTGTCAAAGCCCCATGTACTTGCCATTGTCTTGAATCGTAACAAAGTAACTCCAATGCTGGCTTGGCATGACGAGAAGAAGTAGATGAATTGCTCGCAGGTTGTAGATGGGCTGAACTCGGTCGAGATGTGCAAGTTGCAAAGACCAATGGGGAACAGAAAGTAAGCTGGCGGGGGGAAAAGGTTGAGAATCTCAAAGTCGAAAATCGAGGGGATTTAACGGGGTTGTACGGGGTAGTCTTGATGGGCGATGAATACGTAGTATTCATCGAATAAACCACCCCCGGAAGACCATCAGTCCAATGCTTTGTAGGAAACTCTTTCGTCCATATGGCCAATTTTTGTTTGAGCGTCAAGTTTCCACGCTCAACACATCCTTGGGATTGGGGATGGTATGATGAACTTGTGATAAACTTGATGCTTGGCCATTTGCTTAGGATGTCGTCAACCTATCAGGCATTGGTGCTGTCAATTAAATGGTGCCAGTAAAATCTACAAAACACTTACCATGTGGTCTGCAGTGAATTCACCGCATTGTCGCTCTGAAGTTCATCGGGTGGGCCAACCTCGCAAAAGAGAGCATGCAACTTCTTACAAACTTCGCTAGCTAACTTGTATGGAAGTGGATACGCCCACGAGTACTTGGTCCGGTGGTCCTTCACGTGGAGGATGTATCTCATATCACCCGTAGGAGTCGTTTTGCCACCAAAGTCAACAAGATCCATCTAAAGTTGTTATTGGTTACCATACACGTCCGGCCCAAAGATGCATCAGTGTTTGTAAAGCACCAAGCATGTACCTGAAGCTTTGAGAGAAAAGATTCCACATGGATAGCTCGTGCCGAAGTCTTGATCTGCTTCTTTGGTTGGGTACGTGCACAAGTGCTACAATGTCGATTACATCCTTGACAAATCTTGAAGGGCAATACAAGTAGTTCTTGAACTAGAAGGGTGATACGATTAGGGTGCTATGATGTCCATAGTAATTTAACGTTAGCACATACCTTGAACTTCATGGCATCTCTTCGTCCATGACATGTTTGCTCATGTGCACTTGCAATCATGTCGTAAAGGTGTTCCTTGATGGCGATGTACTTGCCAGCATTTCTATTGCCCTCCTTACGAACGATGCAAGTTGTGCCACCAGGAAGGACCTTGAGGTTGAACGTGTTACGTACCCACCACTGGAAATTTGCCTCGTGTGATCCAGTGGGTTGTTTTCCCTATGCGCTTATACGTTCGAATGTCTGCCAAAATACAAGGATAACAACCAACATTTAAATTACCTCAAGCACTCGCTTCATATCGTTGTACATCTTGAGGGTTATGAATGTCTTATCACTTTTTCGTACGTTGGTGGTGGACGTTGAAGTATTTGGTGATAGAAGAAAAGGGACAAGATAAAATCCTTTAGGACTCTTTGATACGCTTTATGAGAAAATGAGATAAAGATTCAATGATCATGATTTCTAGTTGCTTGGAGGATACCTATTTATACTATTCTATGTTGTTGTTGATGTGTCATGTGCTTGTAGGGAACGTTCTAATGTGTGATGGAAACATCTATCCTATGCTTCTATGTATCATAGTCATAAACAAACATCGAATACAACATCACCCCCTTCCAGTCTCGAGGTATATTGGCAGAGAGACGAATTAAGCTTGCTGTGATCGCTTGCTGCGGCGTGGTGGCTTGTCCATGTCTACATTGGTTGCTGCACGTTTACGTTTTCTTGTTGATGCTGGAAGGTCGTTATTCGTGGAGTGAATTTTTCTTCGTTCCCAATACTTCTTGATAGTCTTGTCGTAGGAAAACTTGTCAGGTGTTAACCAGGAGTCATCTTGTGGTCCGTATCCTTTCCATCGGACTAGGTATTCGCGATTGCCGGCTTTGCCACGGTGATTGATAATGGATTCTACTTCATAAAGCTCATCTGCAGGGATCAATTCATCTTGATCGACCAATTTGAGCTCAGAAGGCGTGTAATTGCGAGGGAGTAATTCACCCGTTTCATCTTGCAATTCATATGCACCTCCATTATTTTTACGTAATACCCTGTAAGGGCCTTCGTATACCGGTGTTAGCTTGCCTGTACGCGTAGGTATCTTGACCATGACATGATCTCCAGGTGTAAAGTTTGTGATGTTATGTGTGTTGTCAAATTGCTCCTTTTGTTGTTGTATCACGGAGTCTGTGCGCGCTTTTATAGCGGGAAACACAATGTTTATCATGTGCTCGATGTTTTCTAAGAGCTGTGCCTGTGACATAGGCTTGAACGATTTCTCATTCCTGTAGTCGCGAAAAGGATTTAGCTTCCTTGCGAACATCAATGTGAATGGTGGCGTGTTTAGACGCTTGGATATTTTGTTATTCAATGCCAATTGTGTGGCTGGTACAAAGTAATCCCAGTCTTTGCTGGTGCCATCCACTGATTTACGTATGATCATGACGGCAGATTGTACCCATCGTTCAGCTAGCCCATTGGCTTGTGGATGATACGGTGTGCTAAGTCGGTGATCGACACCAATGTTATCGAGTACTTCTTTGAGTAACTGGTTTTTGAATTCAGCACCGTTATCGGATTGTATGATGCGTGGGTATCCAAAGTCTGAGAACACTTTGACTAGTTCTTTAGCAATGGTCTTAGCTTCTTTGTTTGGTATAGGCCTTAATAGGCAGAATCTGGTGCATACATCGACCAATATTAATAGGAATTTGTTATGATTCTCTGATTCCTCAAATTCACCAGCAAGGTCCATAGCCCAATGATCGCCTGGTAAGTATGCGTAGATTGGTCTTAGAGGGTGGTATCCTCGTTTGCTGATGTTGTTTCTTTGGCATGTTTGACATTTCTTTACATAGTCTACTGCATCATGCAAGATGTTTGTCCAATGATAACCTTGGTTATGATGTATGTCTTTGACCATGGCTTCAGCTCCAATGTGGCCGAATAAATGGGATCTTTCTAGTATTGAGTTGCGTTCTTCAATTGGTGCAGTCATGCGTTCATTGTCACTGTTTTCTATTTTGTGTACGCGGAAAACACGTTGTGTTTTGGATGCATACCTTTCGGAGGTGATCCTTTCACGTGTTGCATCGCTTAACTTAGTTGGCTTATATGCCATATCCCCCTCCAGCCTTTTGGTGTTACCTTCAAAAAGGCGAGAGAGATGATCGGGTAGGATGTTCTCAGTGCCAGGTAAATGAATGACATTGAATGTGTAATCAAGAAGAGTGTCAAACCAATTAATCATCATAGAATTGGCGATAGGCTGAGTGAACAAGTGTGTGAGAGAACGATGATCCGTATACAAAGTAAATGGGTTTCCCCATACAAAGTGATGAAAACGACGTAATGCAAAGACAATAGCGAGAAGTTCGCGTCGCGTGGTAGAGTAATTTCTTTCAGAGGTTGATAAAGCTCGAGCAGCAAATTCAATGTAGCGTTTGTCATTGTCAACGATTTGGAAAAGAACAGCGCCAATGCCGGTGTTTGAGGCATCGGTGGCAATATAGAATGGATGCCGTAAATCAGGATGATGTAAAATGAGATCAGAAGATAGGATCTTTTTTAGCAATGAAAAGTGCTTATCATGTTCGGCTGTCCATTTGCCCTGAAGTGAGTTTTCATTGCGTAGGCGTTCGAGTGGAGCATTAAGTTGAGCAATTTTGGGTATGTGATCCCGAAAATAATTGACAATGCCTAGGAAGCTTTGGATGTCTTTGCCTGTACAAGGTGTAGGCCATTGTAATACATGTTCAATTTTACGTGGATCAGGTCTTTTGCCTTTGGCTGAAATAGTAAAGCCAAGTAGGTATACGGTGTGCTGTGCAAAATGGCATTTGGCCGGGTTGAGAATAAGATTCACTTTTGTGAGTGCAGAGATGGCTTGTTTGATGTGCTGAACGTGTTCATTAAATGTGATGGAGTGAATAACGATATCGTCAACGAAGGTTTCGACGAAAGGCATGTCTTTAAAAATGTATGTCATGACACGTTGAAATTTGGATGATAGAGGTTTGAGCCCAAAGGGGCACCCTTGGAACATGTATTGTATATTGCGATGAGTAAAAGTGGTTTTGTGCTGATCGTCTGGATGAATACGAAAGCGATGAAAGGCATTTTTCAGATCAAGTGTGGTATAAATCGTGGAACCATGTAAGCGATGGAAGATTTGTTTAATCAATGGAAGAGGATAACGATCGTCAGGTAGTAATTGGTTAATGAGGCGTGGATCTAAGCATGGTCTTTTGCCTGTCTTTTTGCCGGACGCGTCTTTTTTATCGGCAAGAGTAAGTGGGGAATTCCACCCGTTATCAATGCTAGCACGTATGATGGTACCATTTTGTAGCCATGTGTTAACTGCGTCGTCAATGATGGTTTCTAAGGCTATGGGTAATGGATATTGCCTGCGATAGACTTTTTCGCCTTCAGGTGTAGGTAGGCGTATGATAGATTCTGGGATGGTGCAGAAAGATGATTGAGGTATGGCTGCATTGGCCTTCATGTATGGTTCTAATTCACGCATCATTTGTTCGCGTTGTTCTTTAGTGCCAACGGGAGATTCGTTGGGTTGCACAATGTCTGCATATGAGGTATCATAGTCTTTTTCAGGATCAGCCTGTGTGTCATCCCATTTGAATGCAATGTTGTGTATGGAGATGCCTAAGTGTGAGAATAAATCAAGGCCTAAATAGCAATCGATGTTGTCTCCTGTTTGCATGACTTCGAATTGATGCGTAAAAGGAGTTTTATTATTGTAATGAATGGTAAGAGGCTGTGTAACGCCTATTCGGCGTGTAGTATGATTCTTTCCCGCAAATTGTAAAGAGCCTTCAGCTGGTATGATTGACCAAGAATATTTATGACACAAACTTTCGTTTATTATTGATACAGTTGCCCCACTATCCACTAAGCCTAATAGGCGTTTATCCTGTATGATGATAGGAGTCATGAGTGAGTGATTTTGTGGATGAGACGTGGAGGTTGCTCTTATAATGATGTTACCTGATTGAGAGGTGTAGTCATGTTGGCTCATTGCATCCAACTCGGAGAAAATCTCTTCCATAATGTCATCATTGGAAGGGTAGTCATTGTGTGGTTGTGAAGAGGAAGAAGGGGTGTGATCATCCCTGTCAACGGCACGCACTATGGGAGTAGTGGATGTGCCAGCAGTATTCTGCTTGTGGCGTGACGCCATCGCCCTGCGATACTCGTCACACCTGTGACCAAATAAACGCTCCTTGCCACAATAGCCGCACTTGCTGCTTTTGTTCTTGTTCTTGAGTGCAGCGCATTCTTGCGTTGAGTGGTGTGCTTTCGGTCCATGGTAATCGCACCCGACAGGTCCATGAGGGGATCCACTTGATCGCTTTGATGAGTTGCGGACACCAGCATAAGGTGAGTGGCGGTGTGAGTGCTTGTTTCTATGGCGACGACCGTGGTGGTTACGAGGTGGTGCTTGATGCGTATTCAAGTTGCGTTTTTCCTCCGTGATAGTTTGGGCAACTTGTAAAATATCGTCCACACGCGGCTGATGGTAACTATTTACACTCAAGTCTGCACTTTCAATCGC